TAGGACTAGACTTTAAATGACTTGTTCCATGTTTCACATTTCAAGCGTTCCAAATAATGCCAAATAGGATTCGTATCGTCGTTCCCTACTACGGCAGTACCTATCCTGGTCAGAATGCCAGCCTCGACACTCACCAATAAAAACATATGGATCGCCGCTGGTGACGGGGATCTAGCTCGAGTGATGGTTAGTAGCTTGTCTGTATCTCATCCATATCATGTTTTGGTCATCCCGAGGGCTTATCTCAGGAATTGATTGAACACCAATGCAAGTTTTCAAATGACTACAACTGTACTGAATTTCATAACATCCTCTCATCCAGCGATATCTCCTAACGTACCAGATTCGTTCACATACACTCCAATGTGCGCCTCTGATCCGGCCCTCTGTCCCACTTTCTTCGTATTCATGCCATTTCCGAAAGGCATGCCGCTGCATCTTACGGGCACTTGGATGTCTTGACATACCTTATCTCTAAAGGTGCGTAAAGGTCTATGAGGGGGGGTTGTTTCAGCTAGTCACAGAAACGCAGGTGGAAACGTGAATGTGACAGATGAAGATGGTGATACCCCCCTTTACACGATAGAGAATATTGAAACCGCCCAGTTTCTCCTTGATCACGGCGCAGACCCCACCTGGCGGAACCATGAAGGACTGACGGTATGCCAAGCACCTACCGTCTACTCTCACTGCTGAGCTGAAATTATCACTAGCCAGCAGAGACAGTTGAAGAAGAGTTTCCGCAAGTGGCCGCTTATTTGAATTCTGTCACTGCAACCCCTGCTGCTGATTCTCGGCACGCGCCACATGAGAATTGCATTTCCATTCCTGTGGAGCAGCCTTCGCAACATTCACAGGAGGCGGCATCAGAACGCCTTACTTCTTTGCTTATGGGTCAGCTGGATGAAATCGCAAAAATGGAAGAAGAGGCAGGTGATGAAGGCCAGAGAGAAGAGGCACTCAGACAGGCTGTCAGCCACGCCGTCGTAGAAAGCGTGGTCACGGGGTATACCATGGCGAACGGAGATGACTTGGAAACGCGCGACAGGGATTCACAAAATGGAGGTATAGATTCCACAAAACGTAGGCGGATAGACAAGCCAGATGGTCAGCTGTGAGACACTTTCACGCTAATCAACAATTTGCACGGCTGCTATCTGTTTTTTTTTCGAAATGAGTGTAGACATGTGTTTAATGGAACGGCGGGCGCGTAATCGACGCGAATGGGAAGCCGAGTGATGAAGTGTGCGGTGTAAGAGCGGATTGCACATCGCTGGTCCGTGGAAATTAAATCTATTCAGGCACGAAGAAGAAGTTGATTACCGTAAGGCGCGATATCCGCGGCAACTTGGGTTTGACGTGCAAACTCCGTAACAGGATTCAGATCTCATAAGAGATGAAACTGTGAAACTGAGCAGAAACCTTTGCTATGTACGTAACGACCAAGTGATTGTACTTGCCCCGAACTGAGCTCACTCGAGGTAACTTACTGCAGTCTTATCCTAAAGTCTGCGCAAAGGTTACTTTGATAAGCCCGGATACATTAGCATTTCCTGTCTTGTAAAAATTTGATGTACATTCATATACCTACTAGCTCAAGTTACCATCAAAATTATCTGAGACAGGTGCAGCGGCATCGGACCATTATCGGATGTTGAGTCAAATCTTATTGGATGGCTCGCTGACACTGGCGATCGTGGCAATCAGTGCCTTTTCCAGCACAGAGCTGAGCCACTTCTCGTTTCGATCTCGGTTTTTGCATCATCAACGCAGCTCAGCACACCCAGTGCTAAGCCCTAGATTTATCGTTCGTAGTCATGACTTCTTGGGACAATCCCGTGCCCGTTGCAACCTTCCTTTCATTGGCCGATCTCGAAGCCCGCTCCCAATCGGACCCGCCACCGGGTGTCTCTTTCATTGATGACGCGCGATCTAGAGCGTACGATACAGTCTGTGTCCCGCTCACCACTGCAAAATGGAGAGACAGATGGAGAGATATGTGCATCATAACCTCCGAACATCATGGCGAGAGGGTAGAGTCCACCGAACGACACGCTGAAACTTGGAGGGCGAATCCGGCTTTCGAGCTCGGAGAGTGACCATGACGCGTCTCGGTAATTGGCCCCCTCTTCGTGAGCGGTAGTTGCATCTGCTGACACAGAACGCGCGGATCAGAGGAAGTCGAAGGGGTCATTGTGATGATCTCTGATTGGTTAGAGCTGGATGCGTCGGATAGCTGGGTTAGACACGACTCTGAAATCGTGCGTGTCCTTTCGTTCGTGCCTCAATCTTTGGAGTTTCCATACCACCCCCCCGATTCCTTTTTCCAGGCCTTACAGCAGGAGCTGTCTTACGCGTCATACCTGAACGTACACTCTGCAATCTTCCTCCTCCCCGCAACCGCGGTCAGATTGCAGCTTATGGGCGTGCTATCAACACCTGTCTGTCGCGGACTCCTTACATGCAGTTCTCCATCCGGCTTCCCATCTACGATCCCACCATTTTTCAAAGCTCGTCTCCACGCTCCATCTCTGGATCTCCGCGTGACAACCCGCCCACACAGCCCTCATCACCGTCCGCATCATCAACCCCGGTTCGCCCACCTGAACCCAGGGCTGTGCCATCCACGAGGGCATCAGAAGCTGAATTAAATGCCACATGGGAGATGTGGGACGCCATACGTTCCATCTGTGCTTACAACCCGCGTCTAACCTTAAGTACATATCTGTTGGCTCAGTTTGATGTCTGGGGCTGTGTCTGATTGGTTTCTCGCTCCATAGCCCTGGACCTTGTAGCGCCTCTACCGTCCGTACCGGGTGTCCTGGATCGTTGGGCTGCTGAACCTATCAGCCACTTATTCATCCCGGCCTCGACGTTCATTGCAAACACGAAGGGATACCCCGTGCTGCCCAAGGGGTCGCAGTCGTTCATCCGCGACGTCATGAAGGTCAGGCTGCATCAAGCACTCCTTCTTGAGCTCTGTGCTCACTCGTCCCGCATACAGCATCGGCCGGTAGTCATATTGTCTGATACTACTACTGGCCTACACGTAAAAGGAGGCGAGACTGCCTATCTGCAATATGTACGCCATTTAGATAAGACCAGTCCCACTGTAGTACAGGCCAAGACCGCAGGCACGGTGGAGCATTTTGCGCGGGGATATCAGGACTATCTTCAAGCGCCTCTGCAGGTCGGACCGACCCTGTCACATGAACAGCAGCACTGACCCCATCACAGCCCCTTATGGATAACCTGCAGGGCACCACTTATCAAACTTTCGAACAAGACCCTGTGAAATATCAAAAATACGAAGAAGTAAGTATCATGTTTTGATATAGGGGGTAAACAAAGCGCCATTCCCTACTACAGGCGGTGTATGCGGCTCTGTCTGAGTGGCCCCCATCAGATAGGATGTGAGTATCCAGACCTAGCAAATCATCGAGCGTATGTAACGTTGGCCCTGCCTCAGTGTCATTTGCGTCGCGGGAGCTGGAAGAGGGCCTCTCGTTGCTCGATGTCTGAGTGCCATCGCACGTGTTCAGCGGAACGTATTCGTGTACGCGATTGAGAAAAATCCTAGCGCCTATGTAACGTGGGTTTTACTGTCGACGTTATCAAAATCGGTATTCATGTCGAGTACTCGGGACACTTTCCTAGTTTGCAGCGACGAAAGGCATCCGAATGGAGAGAAAGAGTGGAAGTTTTGTTTGGTGACATGAGGACCCTCTTAGTTCCGGAGCGTGCGGATATTATCGTGAGCGAATTGTTGGGCTCATTTGGTGACAATGAGCTTTGTCCGGAATGCCTCGACGGCGCAATGCGTTTCTTGAAATGTACGTCCCTGTAATTTTTTTTCGTTCCAACCCCAGTTTTCATGGGCTATCTCCAGCAAATGGCATTTCGATACCCTCGACATACTCGGCATATCTAGCACCCTTGTCCTCTTCGAAACTTTATAATGAGGTCCTCGCAGGAAAGGATGGTAAGGCCCCGGAGACGCCATACGTTGTGATGTTTCAGGCAGTCAACATTCTCAGCGATCAAGGGGGTGATGACGGAGATCGCTGCGGCCCACAGATACAGGAATGTTGGGAATTTGAACACCCGAGACGCGACGTAGTGTTGGATGATCAAGGCAAGCTATGCCGCTGACCAATGGTCGTCAACCACGCTCTGACAGTTTTACGTGTCTCCTTAGGGCTACCTGTCACGAACAGCCACAACATCCGGTCTGCCAGGCTAACCTTCCACATCCCACACGCAGGCGTGCTGCACGGCCTGGCTGGCTACTTCGAGGCCGTATTATACGGAAAGATCGGACTCAGCATCCATCCTCATCGGAAGGACCTTGTCTCTAAAGATATGTTGAGTTGGTTTCCACTCTTTTTCCCCCTCAAGGCAAGCCTCGGTTGCATCACTATTGCTGTGCCCACCAAATCTCAACAGTAAAAAATATTTATTACATCAGGAACCGCTATACTTACCGAGCAATTCCGAACTGCAAGTCTCCATATGGCGACTCACAGATCAGCGCCAGGTTTGGTATGAGTGGTATGCTGAATCATTTCTTCCGGTGCTGCGCCCCCCAATACAAGCGCCAAAAGTGGGCCCCGTGCCCAGGGTTGATGGACATGGATCTGTTTGGGCAGCGACATCGACGCCGTTTGTACCGCCTAGTCCGTTAGTTGATGCGATTGACAACCCTTTTGTGGTTTCTGGGGATCGACTATCCAAGGAGGTGACCAAGCGAATACAGAGGGTCTCTAGTTTTAAAACCGGTGTCGTCAAGATTGGGCAGACATCGCTTCACAATCCCGGAGGCAGGAGCAGCTGGATGGGGCTCTGAGAGCCTCATATACGGTCGATATACGAGTTTTATATTTCGGCTTTATGTGTTGTGCAGATACTCATTGTAGCGATAATAATATTGCTTTCTTGATGCGGGGCTAAGAAATACACAGCGATGATAGTTTTCTCGCGTTGGCCGGAGAAAAAAAAACTCCTTCGAGCCGGGTTCGAACCAGCGACCTCGGGATGTCAGAAGTTAACCGTTACAGTCCCACGCTCTTCCAACTGAGCTATCGAAGGATTGTATTTTAATGATTCTTATATAATATAGTATCATCTGAGCAAAATTTCATTAATATCGTGATTACTCGGGCATAGAGACCTAAAATTAGCCAGCACTAAAACTCGCTATCATTGTTCATCCAAATTGAACATCAATTCTTATTTCCTTTCCTTAATGGAGCTCTGTCGAAAATCATAGAAAGAACGTGGTCGCGAGAGGTCCAAAGTATATGCCATAATGTTCCCACGCGATATAAATAGCTAGCATGGCACACGTCGTTGGCTTGGCGCTCCTTTTCTTCACCAACGAATGGGAAACGATTCGTACGTCACAATTGGCAGAGCTGCATTCATTGCGCTCTTGCTTCTCAATGTCGTCTTATGGTCACGAGGCTCCTACGGACAACCACATCATAACCATGCCCTTCAATCACTCGGCCACAAAATTTCGAAGCGGAGCATTCTCAGTCTGCTGGAAAGCAAGCAGCAATACAGCTCATATGAGGAAGGCGGGAGCGAGGTGCGTGCTATCTTTGATGAGTCAAGTACGCCTTCATTCTCAATCCGTCCTAGTGTCGTCCTATAGCTGTTCCTATCGAAAACCAATGCAGGGTCGTGCACGACTCGTGTCCTACATCAGACACGTTTCTGCCATCCAGTACCTGAAAGCTTATTTCTGTGCCAGTCCTGCCACTAGGCCGTTCGTATTCGTCGGTCTACTGCTTTGGCTCATGTTCCTGTTTACCACCCTCGGCATCAGTGCTTCAGACTTTTTCTGCCCCAATTTAGCAACCATAGCCAATTTATTAAATTTGGACGAGAACGTCGCAGGTGTTACATTCCTTGCATTTGGAAATGGCAGCCCGGACGTCTTTGCGACGTTTTCTGCCCTGCGTTCAAATGCGGGAAGTTTGGCCATAGGAGAGCTCTTGGGCGCCGCGTCGTTCATCGTCTCCTGTGTCGTGGGTTCCATGTGCATAATCAAACCTTTTCGAGTGAATCGAGGTCCCTTCCTACGGGATGCTTCATTCTTTATGGCTGCCGTCGCTATGCTACTTGGCATCCTCCTTGATGGGTGGATATATGCGTGGGAAGCGGTCCTTCTTCTCTTGTTATACCTCGTGTACGTCTTCACTGTGGTCGTGGGCAGTTGGTGGGAATACAGGCAGCAGAAGAAGCACCAGCTAGAGGCGCGAATACGCAGCGAGTATGCCGAAGAGGGTATGCCACCCTACACTGACGATGAGCCATATCAAGATGATCGTGAGCATTACAGTTGTACCTATGACCTCGTCTTATCGAATACATAGCCACCCGCTCACTCTCCAATGCTCCTATGCCGCCCCCTTCTGACACTAGTCGTCGACGTCTATCATCGTTGCCACGCCTCGAATTTCAGACGCAGCCTTTGAATCTACAGGTTCAAGACTCGCAGGCTGATTCCAGGTCACCGTCATCATCTCCACGCTTACCCACGATGCCATCCTTCTCTCTAGTTGGGGCCCTCGAATTTCGAAGCGTAATTTCGTCATTGCAGCAAGATGCTGCCGGGCTCACTCTAAGCGCCTTTGATTCCCCATTGACACCATTGACACCGTACCCTGGCGGACACTATCATGGCTATGGCCATCCGCGCTCTCGCTCGCGCGGTTCCATCCACAGTGTAAGCGCGCAGACATGGGAAACCTCGTCTGATGTTCCCTTGAGTGATCGCTCTCCGTTACCTCCTGCGACTTCTCTTGCTCCCGACGATTCAGACCACACACCAGAGGTCCCGCTCATTCACATCGACACTGATTCTGAGCTACCGATTCCTGAGATTTCCCACATACCTCCATCTCCAATCTCCGACTCTGGCAGCGACGTGGGGCATCACATAGTGGCAGAGCCGTCACAGGAAGCAGGCTTCGTTCTCGCGCACGCATGTCATATCCTTTTCCCTACACTGCACGGATTTCATGCAAAGAGCTTACTTGGGAAGACTGCGGCTATCCTTGCGACCCCTGCAGTATTTGCGTTGACGATCACCCTACCTGTTGTGGTGGGACCATACGACAGTTCAGGCTACCGCCATGAAAAGCCCTCAGCCATAAACGATACTCTTGTCACCTTTGAAGGGGATGAATCCGAGCACCTCATTGGCGAGGTGGAGGAGGTAGACGGTTTGCATTTCAATAAGTGGCTTATGGCACTTCAGTGCACTCTAGGTCCCCTATTCTGTGTCGCCGTACTTTTAAGTACGTTTCTCGCTTAGGTTTCTCCGATTGAATAAATCTGACACCTATCTCAGAGGGTACGACGCACGAGCGTTGGGTAGTCCTTGCGACAGGGCTGGCAGGCCTCATATCTGGGGTATCTGTAGCCTTCTTTGCTGATAAGGGAGACAGCAGAGGGTGGCTTTTTGTTCGTTGCTCGATGGGTTTTTTCGTCGCCATAGTCTGGATTATGGCCATTGCAGACGAGATCATCAACGTCCTACAGGTCAGTGGAATCAGGATGACAGGTATGACTCTAACTTATGTTCGTAGACTTTTGGCTTTGTTTTTGGGCTGTCGGATGCAATCATTGGTCTAACGATATTTGCCGTTGGGAACTCCCTCGCTGATTTGGTGGCTAACATGAGCGTGGCTGTACGTCTTTACCCATTTATGCATCGGTATTCCATCCTCAGACCCAGGATCACCTAGGTCTTCGCCCCCGTCATGGGTTTCTCGGCTTGCTTCGGTGGGCCGATGCTCAATATATTATTCGGCGTCGGCATTTCTGGCTCGTATGTTATCTATCATACGGGTGAACCCTACCGCCTGCACTTCTCCAACACCTTACTCGTGAGCGCCGTCGGGCTGCTTGCGCTCCTCGTCACAACTATGATATTTGTTCCAATGAACGGTTATTTCCTCCCTCGCAAGTGGGGCGTGTTTCTCATCTGCTTCTACGTGGTGATCATGATCATCAATGTCATTGTGGAGGTGCTTGGTTTCGACTCATGAGGGTTGATGCGTTCGTCATTCGTTGCATATCTATCATCGATGTATGTTCTGAAAGCTTTACACTGGACCTATCTTTTGCACTGTACTATCTTGTAGCCCGACAACTGTAGATTGCTATACATCTCACCTGTTAGAAGATGAATTCCAACGCTAAACTCCGCTTCGCCACCCGCGGTTAAGTTGAAGGAGAAAGGCATCCATCCCTCACTAGCTTTTCTTCTTCATCCTATCATTTTATTCTAGATTACACGTCCTCAGCCTTCCCCTTGTGACAATTTTAGCCCGCCGTCATGAATCCCTTCGTCGTCCTCACTACGTTTGTTGCTCTTGCATCCGCGTTTTCCATCAATACACCGTGAGTAACAAAGATGCACACCCACTAACAGAGTAATTACCCTCGTTCATCCAGGGCATCCCTAGTCGTCTGTCGTGAGCAATTGTCTTACCAGTCTAATCTTGTGCGCTAAGTTGTTGTCCAGAACCTCAGCAGATTACCTGGTCCACAGATGGCGCCTTAGCACCGTTTACCTCTCCATTGTCCCTGGTTCGACATTTCTTGGTTTTCCCCCTTATTGAAGCTCACCATTCCCCCATAAGCGGGTCAGCCTACCGCGGATGCAGTGAGTCGTTTCTGTGTGCCCCCTTCAACCACTTACTGACAATGCTGGCTTTTTGACTACGTAGCTTAAGCAGTTCCCTCCGCAACAAGGGAGTTCCTTCACATGGCCGAAGGTCGATCTGTCCCCTGGAACAGGCGTGTATGCATCAACACAGCCCAAAAATCACCTGAAGTACTGATACATTGTTGAAAGCACTTTTTGCCTGAAGGATGCAAGCGGTCAGCAAGTGTATTCTGCACCCACGACCGTTCAAAAGAGCAGCGACACAAGGTACGACAGAATAGAATGGATAACAGACCGGTATAACATTCTACATTCCTAAAGCTGCGTCAACAATGACGTCATGGAAGGAGGCTCGGCGACCTCTCCTGATCAAGCACCGTACGGTAGATTTATTTTGGTATTTAGCTTAGCTCTGACGTGTCTGGCAGCCCTGTACCTGCGAAAGGTTACCCTGGAGGTGGTACGGCCTCTCAAAGCTCAGCGCCATCTTCGAGTGCCCCCACTGGGACTGGGGCAGCCGGCTCCCCCACCCCGAAGAGTGTATCGTCAGCCTCGATGCCTGGCCCTTCCAGCTCCAAGATGGAAGTGCCGAAGATGTCAGGCAGCAGTGTATCACCGAACCGGTCACCAACCGTAAAGGCTAACTCAGCTGGGCCAAGCACGCCTTGGACGGTTTTTGGTATAATGAGCGCAGTAGGCCTAACGAGCATTGTGATCTCTGTGGTGGTTTAGACTTGTTGAAGGGGACAAACAAACTATTCGAAATGTAGAACAGCCCTAGTAGTAGCGACAATTAGAATGATGAATAGCAATCTCGGAGGAGAGCGGATCGAAATAGTCAGCCAATTTTGATGCCGAGCCGATTAGTCGGAGTGTGGCAACATGTGATTACGCCTGAACCTGACAACCTACCTACCGCCACGGGGGTAGGTCACAAACCATCCATCCTCACACTCTCCACTCGTTATGCCTTCCGGTCATCTCACCCGCCAGCTTCGCTTTGTGATTCCAGGAGCCGCTATCACTTACTGGTTACACACCCCTTCTATATTCGCACGTATTTGGGCAGATGCTGCTCCACTCGCTCGGTTCGTTTTTCTCCAATATCTACTACCTGAACGACGCCAATTCACTCCTTCGTTCCGCTTATAGACTATTAGTGGGGGTGTCGACACTGTCGGGCTTGTTGACGGTTTCTCTATTCTTGTATATTCTCTTGATCCCAATGATCAAGGGTATTCCACCAAACGTACGTCGTGATTGCATGCAGATCATATAGCGCGGCGCTCAATAGCGGGATCGGTTCTAAAACAGTATCGGTCATGGAGAGAGTCGGGGGAGTTGTCATCCGTCATTCCTGTACGTGTCTTTTTAATTTTTAATTATATTTTTTTTTGCCTCTATC